TGCCCTTGCAGATTGGGCAATTAAAGATGATATTCTCTACTATAAAGACCGTGCTTACGTCCGCCCCACTGGATGGTGCCTTATTTTGGAGCGTTGTCATGATCACCCTACTGCTGGCCATCCTGGGCGTTTTAAGACTGAAGAATTGGTCAAACGGGACTTTTGGTGGCCTTCTATGGGTACCTATATCTGTAAATACATTGAGGGTTGCGCCCCATGTCAGCAGATGAAGTCCGATACTCACCCCACTATGCCTCCTCTTGTACCTATTCCATCCAGTGCTGTGGCTCCATTCACCCAGGTCTCCGTTGATCTCATTACTGATCTTCCACCCTGTGCCGGTTTTGATTCTGTCATGGTCGTGGTAGACCATGGGCTTATGAAGGGGGTAATTCTTATCCCTTATACTAAAACCATCTCCTCTGAAGGAGTTGCCAAGAATTTTTTCAAATACGTCTATCACCAATTCGGCTTGCATGAGAAAGTCATTTCAGATTGCAGTCCGCAATTTGTGTCAAAATTCTCAAAAGCCCTTGCCAAGCTCCTGGAATATGATATTGCCGCATCCACTGCCTATCACCCCCAAACTGACAGACAAACCAAACACCTCAATCAAGAACTCGAAACCTATCTTCGGATCTATTGCCGAAATCACCCTGAAGATTGGGTGGAACACCTTCCAATGGCAGAATTTGTACATAATCATCGAAAACACAACTCTCACAACGCCTCACCATTCTTCCTCATGATGGGATATGAACCAAGAGCCCTTCCCCATACACTCCCTGATTCTACCATCCCTGTGGCAGAAGATAGGCTCCATTCGCTCCAGAAATCCAGAGAAGAAGCACTCTCTTGTCATAACCTCGCTATGCAGCGAATGGCAGAACAAACTCATGGACAGAAATATCACCCATGGAAGATAGGAGATAAGGTTTGGTTATCAGGAAAGAATCTAATCACGCAGCTACCATCGCAAAAGCTTGCACCAAAATGATATGGCCCCTTCCCAATCATCGCTGTTCTTTCCCCTATCACATTCACACTCCAATTACCCCCCCAATGGAAAGTTCACCCCACATTCCACGCTTCTGAATTATCGTCCTATCATGAGACAGAAGTTCACGGTCCGAATTTCCATGATCCACCCCCAGACGTCATTGATAACAAAGAAGAATACGAAATTGATGCCATCTTGTCACACAAGGGGACAGGTAAATGAAGATGCTATCTGGTATCCTGGAAAGGATACTCTTCTGCCAGTAATGAATGGATCCCAGAAGGGAACCTTGGCAATGCCACTGATACCCTCGCTGCATATAAAAGGGCTCACCGATTGTAAAATCCAAGAACCATGTCTCTCGAACGTCTACGCCTCTGCATCCAACGCATAGAAGAACTCACTGCTGCTATGAACACTGTAGCTGAAGGAAATGCCCACCCATTGTCCCTCCTTGATTATCAGACTGCAACCACCATTAACCTCACCAATAATGCATCCTCACCACCGGTCTCCCTACCATCGTCCGACTCCACGCTTACCACCGACTCTACTCTTACTGACTACTTCTCGATTATTGACCAAGTCGAAACCAGCGCCCTTTTTGAATCTGCCCTCATGTCCCAGCAATACGCTATAGAAATAGACCGTCTTTTAGGAGAAAGAGGGGCGATATCTAGCAGACTTATCATTAGAATCATCAGAGATGCCAGCCTCATCGAGTGCACTGCCAACCTCCTTGATGACGAACACCACAAGACCATTTTCTGCCACCTTCATATACACATTCATAATACTGCAATCCGTTTGTTGCCTGATGATACTAGAGATGCTATCAGAGAGGCTATTCACATCGTCACAGAGTGAATCGCTCTTGACCCAGTCACGCGCCCTCCTTCCCCGCATATTGCCATTCCAGTCCCACCGCCGGTCCCTGCAGCAGCTCCCATGGAGCATCAGAATGATAATATCCCTCCTATTGCTGTACTTGACATACCAACTTCTCCGTCTCCTACCCCCATCACGCCCCCACACATAGATACCCCATCCGACGCAGATCTTCCCGTATTGCTGCCAAACAAGCCACGTCTGTTTCCCCGCATAAAATGCTCAAATGATCCAGATCCCCTTCTCCCCCAGATCAGTCCACCTCTGTCACAATCGTAAAAACGCCACCAGTTGACAACATTGTATGTCGTAACTGCCGCACCACTGGGCATTGTCACAAGAATTGTCCTGCATATTATTGCCGGGTCTGCAAAGAGTATGCACCCGGCCATCTATCGGTCTTTTGTAAGGAGTTGAAAGGAGAAGTGGTCATCCCACTGGTATGGACTGATGCTGGTTTTTACGACACTCTCGCTCACTGGGAGATTGAGCAAGATGCTATCTACCATGCCGCTGAGTTAGCTGATAGGTCATTCCCTATCACTGAAGAGCAGAACGACTTGCTCAACTTGAACTACGACACTGACCCTATCTACTGGGCTAACCAGGATAACTGAAGTCGGTGACTTTGTTCCTAAACAAGGGGTAATGTTACAGTCACGTCTACTCCTATTCATTTTCCCTCTTCTCTTGTGTATTACATCATGACCACGCCTCATTGCGCCATCACTAGACTAGTCTCTTGCTATATCTGTATTACATCACGATCGCCATTGCCATCACTAGATGACTCACTCTTATCTCTGACTCATTCTTATCTTTGACTCATTCTTATCTATGACTCATTCTTATCTCTGACTCATCACGCTTGCCCTAAAGCACTTACTTACTATATATACTCAGCCATGTACTCAGTAGATCTTCACTTTAATCTACTAGGTTCTCACCTGAAACATCCTTCACTTAGGACCTCCAATCCTAAGTTGTCTGATTACCGATATTCAAGCCAGAGACACTCTCTTTGACTTGTCTTATGACCCTTGCATTTGCAAGGTCTTGATTCAATGTCAGACATTACTCTTATCGAGTATCTGTCATTGCGCCTATCCTAGTTCATAACAGGCAATAGTTAAAGTACCCGGTGCCCTTCATAATGTATGTTTTTGTAATGTGTACCTGAGTTTATTGTGTTTCTAATATTACATTTTAGTGCTCATATTTTCAAGCACTGCAAGATCAATTTGCAATTGCTTTCAATGTCTATCTCAATGTTTTACAGCGTGTTCAAGAATTAGCTAACACTGCATTGAAGCATGATACTGCTCACTGGCACATGCTTCACTCATGCCCTGCATGTAATTACAAGGTGCATTTATTGTTATTGTTATTGTTATTGTTATGTGACGTGAACTATGCTACAGCAAGAGAATGAGCCAACATTGATCCCTGCAAGGATGGACAGTATGGACAGCAATAACTCATTGAAATGGGTTGACAGCTCCAGACATGCTGATGAGTGATGTGGATAACACAACTTGGCTAGATAGTTGTTAGAATACCTAGCCAATATATGTCTACTAGTCCTGCCTAGCTGCTACACTTGCAAGCAAGAACATTCAACCTGAGGGATCTGCTGTCTAGTCAAGTTCAATAGTCAGTACTACACAAAGGATGAAAAATCTGAAGGTCAGGGATCAAGTCCAAAGGTATGGGATGAAGTCTGATGTGCGGGAAATCAGGTCTGCAGGTGCGGAGATGGTGGGAGAGTAAGGGAAAGGAAGGGAAAGTGTCAGGACTAGCTTGGAGATGTTAGGGAATGTCAGATGAATGAGTGACAATAGTGTCAGGTTAAGGAGAGTGAGTCAACAGGTATATTGGCAAGGGTGTTATGAACTAGGATAGTTCTAACAACAGACGACTCAATAAGAGTCAAGACTTCTGCTGAGATTCTATGCAAGACAATAAGTCAAGTGTTCAGTGTAAGCTAAGACAGAAGGAGTGCTTCTATCTTAAAGTACAGTTCATATGACAAGAGATTGGAGATCTCAAGTGAAGGAGATTTCAGGTAAAACCTAGTAAGATTAAAGTGCAGAACTAAAGCGTACAAGAGAACTATATATAGGGAACTACAAGAGCTTTAGGGCAGATGTGAGAATGGATATGAGTCAGAGATAAAGGATGCATAAGTGATAGCAAGAATAGGTCACCTAACTATGGCGGTAGTGATCGTGATGTAATACACAAGAGTCAGAGATAAGTCTAGCAGTGGCAGCATGCGGCACATGATGTAATACACAGTAAAGAGAGAGAAAATGAATAGGGGCATACATAATTGTAACAAAGGGTAACTCTAAGGACAGGTATGGGATGACCAGTATCAGGGAGTTCTCCCTCCTACTAAGTGGTGATTGTAATCCTGGTCACCCAACCTTATATAACTAACTACGTGAAAGTCTGGAGTCCATAGGCAAAAGTAGTAGCAAAAATGTGGGTCCAATGATATGTAGCTAAAAGGCCATGAGGTACTGTGGCCTGTGGAAATCCATGTAATAATGCTGTCTACTCAATCAGTAATGGGAAATAACTGATTATGCACCAGTGGGGTTAAGCAGGACTGGACTGGACATGGTAGGACAAGTGTGTGGGATCTCTGAGCAGGTTTGATGTGTCAGAGATGTGGAGATAGTGGGAGAGCATCAGAGATGGGTAGGAGATGTGCAGACTGGATGGGGATTGCAGAATAGGGTCCTAACAGGCTAGCCTGAACATGATTGTCACAGTGAATCTTCAAATCATTGTATTTGATACCTCCTGATGAAGTTGATATGTTTAAGGATGATGTGCAACTGCAGCCAGGAACACAAGCAGTTGTTACTAACACAGCAGGAGACATCAGTCCACCTAATGTTTCTGAGTCTACATGCACTGACAATTGGAAGACTGCAAACATGATTTCTGACAACACTGTCAAAGTTTTTGAGCAAACAGGTATTTTCATCAGTGCCTGTCAACACAGCATGATCCAGACCTTGGTTGAGATGTGGTGAAATGGGGAACTGTGAGCCTTCTTCAGCCCTCATTTGTAATCTGATGTCAACAATTTTATAGTGCTAAATATGCTCTCACAACAACCAACAAAGTTCTTGATGTTTACAATCTGAATGGAGTAACTAGATATGATATTAGATGTTCCTATCAGAAAACTGTTGATGCCAGCTCTATCTCCATCAAGGCACACTCCAACCATCATCACTTCATCATCAACTCATTTCACAGACATGCCCACAACTGCCATTGTCAGCTTTGGTTCCATCCTTTATATCAACATGGCCTTGGCCTCAAGGACCTTGAAATGTGTGAGCACATATTCTCTGCATCAAATGCTGTAGCTCCTGTTATCCATCATGCATCTTATTTTCACTGGCTTCAGTTTATCAACCTTCACTTTCAGCAGTGGGATTCTGATAGGTACCTGGAACTAAGTATGGTTTTATTTAAGGTTCTTGAATTAGTGTTTGATGCTCCAATTGTAGGCAAGTTTTTTTACAACAACTATAAGCAAGCACTTGCCATCATCAATGACCTAAGCCCTGCTGTCCAGGAACTAAAGCTAGCACTAAATATCTTGGATGGAGACTTCAAGTGCTGGAATATGGAGGAGTTGGAATTTCTGGAGACCCTGACAGAGGAATCAGAGGAGGACATTGAGGTGCACCAAACACATACCAATGCCTTTCTTGATACTTGATTAACTCAGACTCACATCTCACTCATACAACTTGCTTTTCAAACAATAGCAGATGCCTTTGACATTCTCAATTGTTCAAAGAACCTTCCTCTCATGAGTGCATCCACACTATCAAGTATTCATTGGCTGGATCTTGCACATGATGGAACTGGCACTGTAAGTTTTATAGACACAACCATTTGATCTCTCTGTTCAGTTTTAACTTTGACACTATCTAGCTGACATTCACCCTCAACATCAAAGCACACATCTGGCTGGCTTGCTGGCAGTGCAACACGGGAACTTTTTGCCAACCCCCCATCATTACTCTGAACTGAATGAGGTCAAAGAATCTAACTGGCAATGATTCCCACAAGCTTGCAAATGATCAAACCAACAACACTTTCGATCTCATCAAGGATATCTTTTCAGAGCAGATCATAGTCCCTGCATGCAAGAAAGCATTTCACAAAGACTGGAAGAATATACCTAATGCCTTGTCTTCTAACACAGTATGTGGCTGGATCATTGGTAAGTCTTTTTGTCATACAGCTGACAGCTCTAACATGGACATAATATTTCAGAGGAAAATAATATGTTTCAGCAGGGTAGCCATGCATTAGTAGCATTTGAACTACCTGTGGTGCATCCATTGCACACCACACCTTTCAGTCTTATAGTACTGCATAACCTGTTGATAGGATGTGTACATTGACCTGCAAAACCAGGTGTACAGGACACTGGCTGGTCTCTGCACTGCCTGTATAGGCCAGCCATGCAGAACCTTGCAGGCCAATGCCTCAGACAGAAAATGATATCTCTGCACTCCCTGTATAGGCCGGCCATGCAGAACCCTTGCAGGCCAATGCCTCAGACAGAAAATAATATCTCTGCACTCCCTGTATAGGCCGGTCACACAGAACCCTTGCAGGCCAATGCCCCATAAGTAGAAAAGATACCTTTTGCTGATGATGTAGGACCCCTGCAGGTTCATGCCTCATATAGAGAATGATATTTTTATGCTACTTATATAGGTGAAACCAGCATATCAAAGTACAGTTATCAATCAGTACTTGAGATGTGAAATTGAAAAATGAAGTATTGTGCTTTTACAACACTTTATACAAACTTGGTTGTATTTTTCCTAGCAAGTAGTATATGTCAAAATTGCATATCTGAAGTTTCAGAGAACAATATAAAACTGTTCATGGACAACACTCAAAACAGTGAAGGGACCTCTTTTTGCTCATTATCACTCCATGAGACATGTGACTCATTAGCTAATCTTTGCTTATTGAACATTAGCAAAATCATTATCAGTTGCCAAATAGCAGTTCAGAGGTATTATTGAGGCCATAAAGTGAATTGTGGATGTGTGAGATGCATTTTGTATCATAGAGTGATAGTGTCTCATGGACTGATTGATAACTGTAGATTTGGCCAACCTTGCACCCTGAATATTTATGCAGGCTGTCCTAAATGCTCTAATATAAAATGAGATTCCATACAGGAGTAGGTCTAGCCAACCTCACTCATGTAACAAAAGATATATCTTATATAGGATAATATAAATGGTGACTGAATAAAAAATAAAAATACAGTCTACCTACACTCCTTACATGGTGACTAGGGAGGCTGGCTTAATGGGCCAATATGTTATTGACAGACCAGCTGGCCATGTCCTACATACTGCACAGACTGGCTGGCCCATGGGCCAATATGTTATCAGTAGCCTGGCTGGCCACATCCTACATACTGCACAGACTGGCTGGCCCAGTGGTCCAAAAAGTATTCAGTGGCGGCCATCCCTGCCTTGCATACAGCATAGGGTAGCTGGCCCACTGGGCCAATATAATATCAGTAGGGTAGCCGACCATGGCCTGCATACTGTACAGACTGGCTGGCCAATAGGCCAATAAGTTATCAGTGGGTTAGTCATTCCATCTATGCATACTGCTAAAGTATTGTTAGTGCTAATATCAATGTTACTCAAAATAGACATGAAAATTGAAGTGTATATGACAACAAACTGCAAGAAGGGAATTCTAAGGTATTGTGCTAATAATAATGTCTCAGTTCTTATACTTCTTTGAAGCTACTCTGTCTCTGGCAGAGTGACAAGGAGGATCAGGAGGAGCAGATATCTTCACCTTTTTCATGACTGAATCATCCACATCTGTTGCTGTGTGCTTACCCTTCCCTTTTCCCCCAGTGTTAGTACTGCTTGCCTTCTTTGATGTGGCAGCCCTCTTCTCAGTTATCCAAGATGCCTCAGCAACCCTCTTCTCCTGAGCAACCCGAGCCTTCTCAACAACCTGAGCCTCCTCAGCCACCCTCTTTTCCTCAGCCACCCTTTTTTCCTCTGCTAACTGTGCCTACTCCACCTCCCTCCTCTCTTTCACCTGCCTTTTGTTCTCCAGATGCCTCATATGAACTTCTTCTCCCACTGTCATCTGCTTCTCATTACCATCTGGCAGCATTGTGTCCACCTTCACCTGGATTCTGGTAATTGCCTCTTCAATCTTGTCCCCTACCTTGAAGCCAAGGATGGAGTCACCCAAATATTGAGGCACATCATCTCCAGCCTCATCTGCTTCATACTCCTGAGCACATCAACACTCACACATCAACACTCATGAAGGAGGGGTCCAAGGCCTAGGACAACAATCATACCCCAATCATGAGATTTGATGATATAGTTTCCTAGTTCCTCCAAAGCCACAAAGGATGCCTGAACATCATTGTGCATATTTTGAGGTAGATATGCCTCAGACCATGTCCAAGATGCCCAGACAGGCAGATGTTGCTTCCTAGCCTTGCCCTTAGGATCTGGAGTGTACTTTTAAACAAGAGTCAAATTTAATGCTGTATCACAAAAGTAGTGAATTATACATACTGTGTTGGAAAGTTTTTGAACTGTGGCCAACAGATGATGGTATGATGGGAGGGTAGAGTGGGATTGAAGATAACTGACTGTGTCACCACCCATATGGAATTTTGGGCAGGAATTGGAAAGAGATGGGGTGTGGCATTCCAAGTCTTCCTCTTTGTCAGAAGCAATGGCTTGGGGGGTCTTCTTCAATACCTCATCCTCATCTGATGATACTTTGACATATTTTCAGTTCTTCCTTGATTTTTTACTTACATCCCCCTTCTTAGCCAGTGAATCATAGAAGTTGCCTTCCTTATACCCAACAAACTGTACAATTGGTTCATTGCGGTTAGCACAATATTTCCAAAGTGAAAAAATCATACTGATGGCTTCCTTCTGCAGGTGAGAAGGATCCTTGATGACAACATTCTGAGAGATACAGTCCATGTCAAGGTAATGGTCTGGATCTTGGGTAACATGACCCCAGGGGACTGCAGCCCAAGGGTTGTTTGAGATGACTGCTGTTGAATGTAAGCTGTCAGAAAAATACAGTACTTCAAAAATAGAAATGAATTACCATAAGCCTTTTGAAATACCTTTCATATGACCTTCTACTGGTTCTTGAGCATGAGAGATTCAAAGCCTGTCAGTAGGCAAGGATAGCCCTCATCGTCTACATCCACTGTTAAATTGAGCAACTTCTCACCTTCCTCATCAGATTGGTCCTCAGGGTCTATGCCTGTTGCTAGATCATTAGCAATTAAATACATTACAGTATCCAAGACTTACTATACTCGGCTTCATTCAGCCAGTCAGCAAGTCAGTCTTGTGACTCTCCAGCCCATTTCTTGTTTTCTTTGGAAGTCAGAGTAAAAGTTTCCTTCGCCATCCTGGAACAGGATTCCCAGCTAAACTAATAGATTATTAATAGTAATGTCAATGGGAAAACATAACACTGACATGGTTGTTACAGGCATTTTTCCCTCCCCTCAATCATGAGCTACAAGCATTACAACATGTAAACCCATAGTTCTTCCTGCCATCTCCATGAAGTCCCTCATGATTTTCTTTTGGTGTCAGCTGTGGTATCTGTAGATACACATGAGTTTTTCCTAAATATAGAAAATGTAGTGTGAGAAAATACCTGTCCTTGGTGTCAGAATGAGGACCTTCCTGGTTCCACTTTTCTGCCACAAGTCTGAGCTTCTCATGCACATCTGGTGATAGGTCATTGTATCAGGACTGGGCCAGCTTTGTCCTTGTCCCCATGGACCTTAAGTCAGAGATGTCATGGTGCTTCTTGTCATACTCCCCAATTTCTTCTTTGAACAATTTCTGGGTGACATCAAAAGTCAAGAATTCAGTCTTGAATGCTGCAGCATCCAGAGGCTTATCATCTTGACAGTCTTTGACCATATCTACAGTGATGATGCCTGCACCAGATGTGAGTTTATGAGCTCCCTCAATGATTTTTTGCTCAAGATCGCAGTCCTCATCATCCTCCAGAAAATGCAAGTAATATGTATGGATAGCCTATAACATTAGATTAATATAGACAAAGAGACTGGAAGTTCACCTTCTGAATGTTATTGCCTGGAAGCATAGTCAAAGGATCCTTAGCCTCATTGCTTTCAAGTATAGTATCTTTGATATTTTTGAGGATTTTTGCCCTCTCAGCAGGGTTTCCTTTGGCTGAAACATAGGAAATCTTGTGCTCATCCAAAACAGCCTTGAATACATGTGTCCAGTCAGCCATTGTATGCAAAAATCTTGAGAATACAGGCTGGTATAAGTTTGCAGGATGTGTAACCAGTCCCAACTCACTTGACAACAGATCAACAAACCATGTCACATGATTCAAATCACCAGTACAAAATCACCTAAGTATACATCTGACCAACTCACAAATTTAATGACATTAGCTTATATACCAAATTTCAAGATTCAGACACCAAACAAATGGTTACTCAAACTCAGAAACAATGATAACATGAGCAAAGTACAAAGTAAGACAGAAATTGCAGAAAAACATGTAAATCAAGCTAACTGTGTCTCCAATGGAATATCCAACCAAGTACTACCATTCTTCCTACCAGAATACAGTACTGTGGACCCAGGTGGCTGAGAGAATGTATGGCTTACATTGCAAGAGTCATTTTTGCACTCAAAAATGTAAGCCTTATCCTTGCTGCCTTTGACATAGGCAGACCTCCAAGAATTAGCCCAACCACACCCACTGCATTGGATAGGCAGGCAGTTGCCCCAAGGATGGACCTCCACATTAGCCCATGCAAACCTAGAGCAAGTGAGGGTGCCCTCCTTGACAGGTGTCAGCAGAAATATGTCAGAGTGGTGACCAAGGTCACAGGACTGTGCGAGCATATCCTTGAATGCCAAACAAAGTGGTCACCGTCCAATGAGAACCCTCTCTATAATGCAATGAGCAAGTGCAAGGCAAAAGACAGTTGAAACTGAAGAGCATTGAATGTGATGGTACCAGTTAAGTTGTGTCTGTAGGAACATTAGATATGTAAGGCATGTCAAATAAAGGCAAAAAAAACTTACCAGACAACAGCCTCTTGCAAGCCATGGAATGAGTCCAAGTTGGTGACAAGGGAGCCACAACATAGCATCCAGAGGTAAGATTCCTGGGCGCTGTTGATGATACTTTGCCAGGGTTTGAGAATTATTTCCAAGAACTGTAACAAGAGTCACTATTGGCCGACTATGACAAAAAAAAACTCACATCATTGACTGGAGTGCTGACATAGACCTTTGAATTATCATCCTCATACCCAGTAAAAGGGTCTCCATAATTGTCATTGGTGTGAGTAGACATGCCAATGATAACATGCTCCCAGACAAATGAGTTCTTCAAACCTTTGATTATCTGCCAGATTTTGCTATGGTAAGGGCAAAGCTTGGCATCAGTGCCAATGTCATAGTAGACCTCAAGATATTTGATGCCATCGCCAGCATAGTAAGGTTTGAGAAAGGCATGAGCAAACTCAAAAGGGCTACCAGCCACTGTGAAGTCAATGATGATAAGGTGAATAAAAAAGACCAGGGCCGAGGATATTTCGGCTCACTCAGACACCTTGAGTGCACCATTGATGGGTAAGAACCTGTCCAAGACAAGAAGGCAGTTGGCATTATAGAAACCCTGTTATCAATGAGGCATGAACAAACAAATAAAATTTAAAAAAAACTCACAAAGTAGGCACTGCCTGGTTCCATCTTGATATGGCAGCAAATGCACTGGAAAGTGTTGGATAATGGACAAACATCAGACATTACCATAGTTTACATATGTTTGGTTCATTTATAACTTTACCTATCGCTTAGCACTCAGTAGACCTCAGTGACTTACCGCATCACTGAGGTGAGATATTCATTCATTCATAGCATTACTTATACTGACTGTACTACAGTGTTATACTTGCTGCAGGTATTTATATCTAATATAGTGACTTACCGCATCACTGAGTGTTATACTTGCTGCAGAAAGAGACATCCTCTTGCAGGACTTTGGTCTCTATGTCAGGTGGCAGCTGCAGGCAGAGTCTGCACACTACTCTGGGACACAGAGTGCACATGAAGAGAGTATTGTCTCCATAGCTGTCTGCACCATCCCTGCAGAGTATGCAATACTAAAAACAAGAAAGATAAAGCAAATTAGCAACTAGAGTAGTGAGAAAATGGATGCACCTCATTGTGACCACTTCTCTTTTCCAAGTCCCCAGCCTTTGCAGTGGTCAAAGCCTTAATAAGAGACAAAGATAAAGTAAGTCAGCAAATACAAGACAGAAAAAATAGATGCACCTTATGGTGAGCATCTCTCTTTTCAAAGTCCCCACCTCCCACAGGTGTGACCTTGGAGGCAGTCAAAGCCTTCCTTCTCTGCCTATCTACTCCAGAAATCTGGGTGCTTGAGAGCTTGAGGAGGACGTGTGGCACTGAGCCACCATTGGATTTTTTGGCAGTGTTCTTGGTGTAGGCCATAGTGAATGACTTGAACATGCAAAAAGCTGAGATTGTAGTTAGTATTAGCATAGTTGAAATTGCTACACAAAAATAGAATAAGAAAACTCACATGACCAAAAAGATGTGGAAGCAGAAGAGGCGCATTGACAAAAGAGAAGCTGAAACAGTCAGTATCAAGTCAGTATACCACAAGCCACAGAAAGATAAACTCACATGACTAAAGAGATGTGTCAGCACAAGAGATGTGTTGTGATGATCATATTCCCACTAGGCTTGCAATGGCCATCTTTTGATATAGGTGATGGAAAGCTACAAAACCATTGACTGCTTTTCCTGCACTCAACCCACTCCAAACATGTATTCCTGCGCTCTGTGGACCCACACATTCACTCCCACGCTGTGCGCATACCTGCGGTCGATTTCCCACGCCTTTGGACTACCTTACAGATGTCCTGTATCAGTCCATTATCCATCCTACCTCATTAGTACATATTTTGCCTTGCCTTGTGTGTTGTAACAAGTGTCGCAGTCTTATTACATGTCTTTACATATTCCTACTGCCTGTCTGTCCTGTCCCTTCCATTTCCAAGAGGGTTTAGCTAGTATAAAGTGCCTAGAGTGACTACTTCATATTTACTTCCTTCTACAGTATTTCCTTCCCTTAGGTTTTACTTAGGAGCAGTCACCATTAGTGCGCGCTTTTAGCCCCTATTGGTTACCTTATACCTGGACACCTTGTCTTGACTTTCCTTACCCATGCAATCAATACCCTTGCCCTCACTTGCTACCCACGCCATTCCTTAAGACTTCCCTACCCCTTACCCTAGCATCTCACACTTCTGCATCAACTGCTCATCAACTGCACTTCCACATTCCCATGCTCTGTGCACTTTTGGGTCTTTAGTATCATTGGCCTTTCTCAGTAGCAATTCCCTTTAGGGTTGAACACTCTTGCTTGCAAGTGTAGCAGCTAGGCAGAGCATCGACCTACAATAATATTTGTAGTTAGGCACTTTAACAAGTGTCTGGCCATTGTTGTGTTTGCACAGCATTCAGAAAAGAGACACGTGGACAAAAACAAACAAAAAGACACTCACATGATCCAAGAGACACATTGACAAGAGAGAGAAGAGACTTTGACAAAAGAAACAAGTCAAAAAACCAACCAAACATGCACATGACTTCCACCGGCCAAGTCCGTCAACCAGTGGAATTGAGCATGGGAACATTTGGTACAAACATCAACAAATCAACAAACAATACTTCAACCAACAATCTTGTTCCCATGGTTCATCTTTCTCAACTTCAACCATGTTTCCACTTCATCCCATAACTCATACATATATATCACACCTTTCTTCCTTATCTTTTTGTACCTATCCTTTGGCCACTTGCAGACTGCAGCTGCAAGTGTTCAAAGGCAGTATTACATTAACTTTTTGCCGCTCTCAGTAAGTAATTTTAAGTCATATGATTTGTAGTACTGACTTGGTTTTTTTATCTTGACAGCTGGCGTGCTATCAAGCTTTTGATAGTGCACCTTAAGGTCAGTCCTTTCTCTTGATTCTTGATTGACTTTGTTTTAGTTCTTCTTGGCCAACCATGTCCCCAGGGACTGGCACCTCTAACCCTTTTTCTTTTTTAGTTCTTCCTGGCCAACCATGTCCCTAGGGACTGGCACCTTTACTTTTGTCCAGGTTTTGCGCCTATTCACCTCTCTTTCAGATTTTCCATCTGCCTTGTTGGGCCCCCTTTTTTCTTCTTCTTCAAGTATACCCCAGCACTAACCACATTTTTTTCTCTAGCTTTCTATAACAGTTTCTTGCTTTGTGCCTGTCTGGTTGAGTGGGTTTTTCTTCTTTCAATCATACTCTAACACTAACTGCATTTCTTTCTCTAGCTTTCTATATCATTTGTTGATTTCATTATTCCTTGGTTATTTTTCAAACTGGTAAGTGCCGGTTTAATATTCAATATCATACTGACTTCCACTACATTAGATTATTAGTTACTGTGCATTTTACCTATATTTTGTACTATAGGGTGCAAGGCTTGGATGGAGAGGGCCCCTTCATCCTTGTCTTGCATCACTTACATTAGTTTTTTGTCTTTGTTTATTTTTGCCAACCTTGTACACTTTAGATTAGATGTGAAGCCATAGCACAAATGTATTGCCCTTTATGGGTATTTTGATGTCATGTGATCCTTAATTTTTTGCCAAAAATATTTGTCACATGATCATGAGAGTGCACTTTAAAGGGTAATAATGTCTAGATTATATCTGTCTATGGCGACTGATAGGGTGCATCGTGGTCATTGTGGTGTTTGTTCTGTTGCCACTTAGACACCCATTTTCACCCATCTCAATGATGCTACTAACATATACACTTTCATCACTGTCAGTCACTATCAGTAGCGGTGCCTTTATTTACCAGGACTATCTATACCCTATGCTTCACTTACTGCATTATTATCCATATGTTGCAGTGTTGTCAGTAACGGTGAGTTTATTTACCAGGACTATCTATACCCTACAGCATCATTACTTGTTTCTCAAGGAAACTCCAGCAGCATGCCTAGCCCAAGACATTGGATTTTGGTAATGTTTTATGGTCAAGACTTAATCTTTGATGGTTAGAAGGACTTGATCTTCTAACTGTCAAAGATTAAGTCTTTTAATTAGCTTAAATCTTGACTTTCGCCTTCATTCACTCTACCAACACCACCATAGCAAGACATGGACTTTTTCAACCTCCAGAACAAAGATGAGATGCTTATTGATGAACATGAATCCCAAATCATGAAAACGGTGAGTAGTGTATATCTTGTATTCATTTATATTTACACTTCATTCCTTCTTTCACACTACATAGGGAGAGATGGATGATGTCAGCCTCAATAACAAAGAGGCAATCCTCATTGACCAAGACATCACAAACAATGTGAGTTTATTATATTATGTTTTGCCGCTATATATTGACACTGTACTCCTCCTTCTACACTATGATAGGATATGGACATGTTCAGCCTTGACAAGGAGGATGTGATGCTTATTGACCAAGATGGCTCAAACAATGTGAGTTTATTATATTATGTTTTGCCACTATATATTGACACTACACTCCTCCTTCTACACTATCATAGGGAGATATGGACGTCTTCAGCCTTGATAAAGATGATGTCATGAATATTGATGAGGATGAGATTATGGTATAGGAAGGCTGTCATATCCCATCATATTCCCACGCTTTCTGGACCTATTTCTGGACCCCATATCCAACTCATTCCTGGATCCCCTATCCTGTCCACCCTATGCACATTCTGTCCAGCAAGACATCTGGACTTTACCTCCTCTCAGATTCTGGACTACATCCACCACCTCACATATCTCAGTCCTGTTTCTGCCCTGCCTTCCAGATCTCCAGATCTCCGGACCTATTCCCACCCTCCATCCAAGATCCTGCGCCTATCCCCATTTAGGCATCTCCACCTTTCCAGTTCTTGGTTATCTCTGTTTCCATCTTGCTGATTGATCCTTGTATGAGTCTTCATCTCCGAGTTCATTTAGTTATGTTCTATCTTACTTACTAATGTGTTTCCACATGCTCATACATAGCCTTACTCTATTGCTTACTGATCCCCTCAGATATTCTCCAGTATATAACCCCTGTAGATACTCCTGTAGTTTCCTTAGTCTGAATATCACCTTAGATCTGCCCAATCATCTTCCAGACTTCAGTCCATCTGAGTCTCGTCCTTTTCTGTAAGGCCTAGGGATGGATTCCCTAGGCCGGAATTCTGGACCTTTGGATTTGTCCCCTATGTCTCTGTCCCAAGTCTAGGGATTGCTTCCCTAGGCTGGAGTCTTGCCTTTCTGGCACTTACCCTCTCTCTGGACTTTGGTCCACTTCCTGTCTCTCTGACTCTACCTAAGGGTAGTCTACCTTTGTTTGGTTCTACATCAGATGAAGTCCGATGTAGCCCCTATTCCTTCTGGACCTCTGGACATCCTGTCCTGTGCACCTCCAGGTGTCCTGTCCTTTGGACATCCTGTCCTCTGGACCTTCAGTCCTCCTGTCTTCCATACTTCTGGACCTCTGGACATCCTGTCCTCCTGTTCTCCTGTCCTCCAGACCTCCTACCCTTCCATCCTGTTTCCTGTAGAAGTACTACCTTGCAGTGGGAACTCTCCTGTGCTCCTCTGGACATTTCCTGCACTCCTCCAGAAGTCCTCTAGCACTCCAATAGAGTAGCCAGCCTCTGGAAGTCCTCCAGACTTCATTGGACCACCATTGGACTTCCTCAGAAATGAAGGGCACATACTTGAGTAAGGGGCACAGCATACAAGCTGAGGCCAAGCCCCTCTGAGTCAGTCTCTCTCTCCCTTGAGCATGGTTCTTAACAAAGGCAGTATGTGATTTGTGGATTTATCATTTACCAGGGAATCTGGAAATACCCCTGAATGTAAACATTGTACTACTATCATAGCTATCATACAACCACTTCTTTTTTTTCAAACAAAATTCATAGTCATATGTCATACTAACATATTCCCTTTCTACATATCATCTGCTCCTTCTATTGTGCTCAGTTTATAACCCATCTATTAGGATTGAGTCCCCTAACATATCCCCTTTCTACATATCAGAGTTCCTTAACATATTCCCTTTCTGAGTTGTAGGTACCCTGTTATTGATAATGCAGTAAGTGAAGCATGGTCCCAGAATGACACTGGGCCAAGTAATGATACTGTAGGGTATAGATAGTCCTGGTAAATAAAGGCACCACTACTGATGGTGACCGACAGTGATGAAAGTGTATATGTTAGCAGCATCATCGAGATGGGGGAAAATGAGTGTATAAGTGGTGATAGAACAAACACCACAATGACCATGATGCACCCTATCAGTTGCCATCACCAAACAGCCAGCAATGTGAATGCAAACATCCTGTGTTTCGATGGCGGTGGTACTGGCACGGGCTCATGTTTTTGAATAACAGGTGATGAAAGGTCTGAATGACAGCACAGTACTGTAAACTTCATTAGCATCACCAAGAGTTTGGGTGTCAGTTACTAAATATGCCTTAATTAGCAATAATTAGCCTAATCATGTTTATTTATAGACTCATTAATTACATCACAACTAAGTTTGAAGTCCATGAGAACTTTGGTTCATTTTCTTTTTTACATCCACCATGGAAGAGAACCTGAAGAGCCAGGCATCTGAAGTAAGGGAAGCTCTGAGTAGCAGGATCAGCAAGATACTTGGGAATTCATCTGAAATGGGTGTCCTGAAAGATGGGCAAGTGGTAACTAAGCTGTTGCATAAAGCTAGGTATCTATGGTAGATCATCAATTTTAGCTGAATTCTAATTGATTAATCTTTTAGAATGAGAATATTGGTGCACCTCCAGATTTGCTTGGCAATGCCAGATGACACTACATTTACCAATACATCAATTTCGGAATATGAAATTGATCGGGCCACACTAACTATTGCCCATGCAATGGTCAATCCCAGTGAGTGTCCCCAAATATTTCTAACTGTCATGAATTCTTAAGCAGAAGTATAGTCAATGTTGATTGGGATGTGGATTGATATGCTGACAGGGTCAAGTTGTCACCACCAAATCAGGATGGGTCAGCAACCTCTGAGCCAGAAAGGCTAAAGAAGTACTTCTCTGAGGCAGTGCTCAGCAAAATTTCAACTCCAGCTACTATTGTAGACAGGCATGGCAGAATTTTGATGGTCTACCTGCCCAATATTTTGTCACCTGCTCGCCTGGTATATTTCTGGATGGGATTTTCCCTCAGGGACTGATTGATTAATTAGGAGTATGTTAACAATGCCACCTCAGGCTTATGAAATTCTCTTCTTGATACCCTGCTGCCCATTTCAGATCAAAAAAAGATTTGGAGAGATGATGGCTTTGTGGTGCCAGAGGGTGGGGGTGAATTTGGGGCTGGTAGGATTACTGTGTCACCTGCATATTTCATGCAAAGACAAGAGGTATTGTATTTTCAGTGCTGAATTTTCCAAGTTCTCACTTGGTGATTAGCGATTGATAGATCCTCTTGTAACATTGGAGTCTTACAACTCAAAGGAGGTCCAAAAATGGCTAGAAGCTTTAACAACATCAGAACTTCTATGGAACTCCATTACTGCAGCAGTGGCACCAGAACTTTTTGAATCAGGCACTTCTGCATTTTCCAAGGTTGTCAAGGAGGTTCGGCAGCAAAAAAATAATTTGGCTCTGGTAGATTCTTGGCCCTCTATCTTTTCAGGGTTGGAAATCATTGCCAACTGAACAACCTTCAGCCACAGAGATCCTGGTGGATCTCCTTCACTTTTTGATCTTCTAGTCAGTTTAGGTTGCAACCATCATGCAACTCTTTCTTTGGCTGATGTCTATGCAGAGCTAGACTATTCCCCTGGTGCAATGGTCTACATCACTGGTAGGGTACTGGAGCACTCTGTGGGTCCTTGGATTAATGGAGAAAGAATTGTGGTTGCCCATTTTATGAAGGATGCTGTGCATGATAGAGTTAAAGTGCCAAGGCCAAGTTTTCCTTTGCAGAGGAACTTTTTACAGTTGGTAGGGAGGAAACCCAAACCTGCAGGTTGGAGAGCCAATAAATTACAAATATGGTTAGGATAGGAACAGGACTGTTTTGTGGTGTGTGGGCAGTAGTGGTGGTGGACTACCCGGATAATGCCAATGTTCTTGTTGTTTTGTCCCTTTTGACAGACTCTCAATTTCATGAGCTCACAAATCACACCAAGGAATAGAAACGGGGTCAGAGTCCAGCCATCTTCATCTGGAACTTGCCCATCAAAGAGAACAAGAGGGGCTTATAAATATGCATATATCCCTTCAAAAACTTGGAGGGGAAAAGATTTGTGGAAAGAAGCTAATGCTTCATTTGTCTATGAGGACTCTGATAGTGAGATAGAAGTAGCTTCACCATCAAAACAAATCAGGCATCACCATATTGAAGATCATATACCACTGGAATACAACTGAGAGGTTTATGGTGATTTTTGGATGGGAAGCTTGGATGGTATGAAAAGAAAAACAAAAGTGAGTTTGTTGAATTTTGGAGTCTCAAGTTTTTACAAAAAATCATGTGCAGGCCCAAAATGATTTCCTTCAAGATTATTTGCCTTGGTGCACTGAATATCTTTTAGTGTTATTGGAGTTAGAGCAGCTGGTCAATGATGGGAAATGCAAAGATTGTGGAGAAGGAGAGGGGTTGATCCAGTGTTTGTCTCGCTCAGGAACACATGCCTGGTGTCCTTCTTGTGTTCTTAAAGCTCATCAACATAACCCCTTCCACAACCTTCAACTCTGGAATGGCAGGTTCTACAAGACTACTACCCTGCAGGCTCAAGGGTATATAATGTATCTTGGCCATGGGGGGAACCTTGCCCCAATCTCTCACATCAGCCAGACCCATCTCCCTGGGAAGATATTGGGTCCATGGAAGATGTGTTTGCACAGGAGGAGGGGGATACAATTAATGACATGCAGTTAGGAGTATCTAACCTGGTCATTGTACACTCTACTGGTGTTTACTCACACAGTGTATCATGGTGCCAGTGTCCTGGAGCTGAGAAGGCATGGCATCTCCATCTCATGAAAGCAAGGTTATTTCCTACCAGTATCACTCACCCTCGATCTGCTTTCACATTCAATGTCCTGGATAACTTCCTCATAGATGCTTTGGAGTGCAAGACTTCAGCCATGAGTTTCTATCAAAAGCTCTGTTGGTTCACAAACAATGCATTCCCTGATAAAATACCAGTGAGTAATTTTATATGATTGTGTGCCCTGCTGATAGGACAAAAAGGACTGATACTGTGAGCTTATGCAAGTGTCACATATATGGCAGGATTTGGTCAATGGAACAATCCCCTGGTCCAGGGGATTTAGCCCTTTATTGCCCAGCATGTCCACAACCTGGAATCAACTTGCCAACATCTTGGAGATATGACTATGAAAAGTAAGCTGACTCATAATTATTGCAGTAGTATATCACTCATTATTGGTCTGTGGTAGGTGGTTAGTTATATGCAGATATGTGGTTGATGGAAATTTCACAGCACAACATATGCATATGAAAATGAAAATTCTGGAAGACAATGTTTCCCTAGCAGATGGAAAGGGATACATGGTAACAGAGGGACCTTATCAAGCTCACATCCATGATTCTGTAGAAGAGAAAGAGGCAAGTGATGATTTTGAATGATTGATTACTCCTGACTTATAATATTTTTGAAGAAATCCACTTGCAGCAATCATTGGGCAGTGAATGCAACAAATATCCAAAGAAGCAACCTTAGAGCTACAGGGGTTGGGGCAACAGCATGTGCTAGGCATGGATGCTTTGTTCCTCACACAGTGGTGGACTTCCAAAAGGGAGAGTGGTCTGTGATTGTTTTGTTGTTTCAGACAATGAACTGACCCTGTAGTCAGGCACATGAACATGGACTATTCCATTTGCAATGCAGTTAAATATACACCCGAACATATTGGCAGTATGCTCATCATCTATGATGTTGCATGTCAGTGGAGTATTCACTTTGCTGAATGGGTAGACCAAAGCTATCATCTGTCCCTTCCCAAGGGGACCAAAATATTACCTGCAGTTGGCAAGTTTCATTTGAGCACACATAAGCTTCAATGCTTTCCTAGGTTCAGCCTGAATTTTATGACCAGAGCTGGGCATATTGATGGGGAAATATTGGAGATGCTCTGGGCTCCTTTCAACAAGATTTCCCCTACTGCAAGATCCATGTCTTTGGCTCACCAAAAGGAAGTTTTGGATGACCATATGCAGGATTCCAATTGGAAGAAGCTGGTTGGCATTGGCAAATCTAATTTATTCTGGTTTCTGTTACTTCACCTGACATAAACTTGGCAAAAGTATTGTCAAGCCCTACAGGGTGTTAGTGACACTCAGGGTCCATATGAGGAATTAACCAGATCACTCAACTTGGATGATGTTCAGGAGTGGAAAAAGGCAGCTGAAAAAGCAGCTCAGGACCATGGAGAGCTTCTTGACATCTATCAGCTTAAAATGGACAAAGGTAGGTCTTGTGTTGTGGACATTGATTTTGCCCTGATGGAAAATAATTTAAAGCACCCTCTATGGCTAAAATATGTCTCAGATTGACTGAAAATGAACTATCTGCTAATGGTAGGACTGGGTCTGTTGCATGGTTGATCGAGGGTATAAATATAGAAAATTCTCAGTAAGGTATTTTAACTTTGGGATTGGATTGACTTAAATTGTGTTACTAGAGATGCCTTGAGATTGTCTATAAGGCAGCTGCCCCAGGATTCAACTGCTTCTCAGAGGACCATGATAGAAGAAAGAAGGCAAAATCTCATGACATGGATTATTAAGTTCCATGAGGCTACAGAGGTCATGACTAATGGTATGGAATTGAAGGGAGATGAAGGAGCACCACTGGACAACCCTGAACTGTGCTGGAGGATGCTGACACATCCAATATGGAAGATCTAGAGGAAGAGGACATTTTGGACTTTGACAGTAATATTGATTCACCTGCAGAAGTCACCAAGATTTGGATGCCATCATGGGCAGCCTCTGGTCACATCATGGATAATGTCATCTTGGCATTAGGTCAAGAAGAACTCAAGCTTCAAAAGGGTCAAGCAAACAACTGCCTGGAAAAGCTTCATCAAGCCCTGGGTGATAGATCAGTTGTCTTTTGGGAGAAAATACACTCCAACAAATCAGTCCATCACCAGGGTACTAGATCTAAAAAGGAACTTCAAATGATAACTCTCCCCATCAACAGACATGCAAGAGGTTGCAGCTGGGCAAGAGCTGCAATGCTCTGCCTAGGGGCTAACTCTGATACTGTGGCAGTGTATCAACCCATAAAACCTCAAGACCTAGTAGTGAGCAAAACCCTCTTTCCAGACTTAGGTCCAATTCCTGTCTCTCTAACTCTACCTTAGGGTAGTCTACCTCTGTTTGTTTCTACATTGGACTTTGTCTGATATAGCCCCTATTCCTTCTGGACCTCTGGATATCCTGTCCTCCTGTCTTCCTGTTCTCTGGACCTCCTATCCTTCCATCCTGTTTCCCATAGAGATATTACCTTGGGGTCTCTCCACTTCCTGTGCAGTGGGAACTCCTCTGAGTATTTCCTGTACTCCTCTGGAACTCTCCCATGCTCCTCTGGAAGTCCTCCCACACTCCACCAGAGTGGCCAGTCTCTAGAAGTCCTTCAGACTTCATCTAAAATGAAGGGCACATACTCAGGTAAGGGGCACAGCATATGAGCTGAGGCCAAGCCCCTCTGAGTCAGTCTCTCTCTTCCTTGAGCATGGTTCTTAACAACTACTCTACTGTGAGGCTCATAAAAATTGTAGATGTGTCATGGCATTGATATGTGAACTTAAGGGGAAATTCCTATGTCCAGTTTGTTTTGTTCCACAAGATCAGCAGTCTGATCTTTGTACACACAAGCTGCCAATCTGAAGACATACTCCATACTGTGAGATCAATGTCTTCTGAGAAGGAAAAGGAGGATCACTTGAAGGCTTTCTTACTCCAAAATGTTCAGGTATGCCCTTTTTGCTGTAATGTCTATTAATACTGACAAACTTGCTGATTTAAGAATGTCTTCTCGAGAATTCTTCACACTGACATTCATCGTGCTCTTTCTTTTGACTGCCTGCATACACCAAGGAAGGATTATGGGGCAACCATCTGTGGAAGGAAGTAAAGTTTTGGATTGAGGATCTTGGGCAGGAAGCCACTGTCAAACTCAACAAATATGTATTGTGACTATAATATATTAATACTAGTGCTGACTTGCTGTTTTAGTTTTGATGCACTTCCACAATGGCCTAATGTGATGCATTTTTCCTCTGTCATTGCAGTGGATTTCACTGATGGTACTGCTCTTGGGGATCTGTTGAAGGTTTGTCTATACATCATAAATGATTTTAGGTACTAAAAAAATTTAGATGATTATCTTTGCAGCACAGGATATTCTTTCTTCATTCCACTGTAAACTGGGATACTTACTTCTTCGCTGCCTTCACTATTACATTGAGTTTGACATCTATGCCTTGTTCAAAGTCCACATGGAAGATACAATTGCAGCTGGAAGGTTGGTACTGCAAAAGTTCTCAGAAATTATGGATGCAAGTCACTATTTGTTCAGATGATGATTGTCTAACATTTTGCTAGGAATATATTGCTGAATTGCAGCCTGAAACATTAAAAAATTGGAACTTTCCAAAGAAGCATTTAATCTTGCATGTATTCAATGATATTTCAGCTAAAGGTGTGACCCACAACTACAGTACCAAGCCCAATGAAAAAATGCATGACTCTTTTTGAAAAATCTACCTTCAATGCACGAATTTCAAGAACATTGCTTCTCAGGTGAGTCACTTCTAACTATATTGTCATGCAGATTCAGCCTAATAATAGCTCTATTGTTGCAGATCCTGCACTATGATGAATGGCTTCTGACCTTGACGTCCATGTGCACTGAACTTGACAAACTTGACAAGTACAATCAAAGAGACTCTTGTGACCCCAAGACCAATGAAGCACTGGATGATGCTGGAAACCCCAAATCTACTACTGTCCATGCACATTTAGGTTTGAGGCAAGGCAATCACACCTTTCCAATATCATGCACTTGCATGGAGCTGATAGGGCCTTCACCGACTTTCGGATGAAGCTTAACAGCTTCCTGAACATTTTTCTACCACAAAATGATATTCCATTACCAGATAGAAGGCACATTCACCTGCATGTGGAGGACATGGTATGCTAATTTGCTTCAACCCAATTGATAATACTGATACATTTTTATCAGGTAACAGAGTTTTGGTTTTTGCAGATTCATTATGAATCAATAGTTGACTGGTGCCTGCACTGAGAGTTACTTTGGTGTAACCTGAAGTTCTACAGATCACTGAGGTATGACTGTGTCTTGGTGAATACTGCAGACAAGCTGTTTTTCACTCACTTCATGTATATGTTCAGCTGCTTGATTGGTGTCACTGATCCCCCTCCTGCCCTTATTCATCCCTATGGTATTAGTATGCCTAGTAGTTGTTGAAGGTGAGACAGCGAGCTCAGACTGTGGTGTGTGTGGGCCAAACCTCAATTATCCTCTGAGATCATTTCTGTCCAGTCAATCATTCAGGGAGCTGCTCTTGCCAGTGATCCTGAAACACCTGGCAATTACTTTGTCATCCACACTGTGGACAGTGACATATTTCTTCAAATCAAAGCTCTCCAGGCTCAAGCCACTCAACCATTGAGAAGCAGGCTATCCTCAGTATTACTAGTATGTCCTGGTCTCCTCATCCTTCATCTGCAACAAGCTTTTATTGATGTTGGCCCTTTACAGATGTCTAATAACTTGTACTATTAGTAGTAGTAGTGACTGCCCTAAAATGGAATATTGCCTGGGTCTCCATCCCACCTTTTGATGATGAAGAGCCACCTTTGGATTATGGTGATAACATACTGGATGTTGAGCCTCTTGAAGCCATTCAGCTGAAGCTCAATTCAGAGAAAGATTCTGCCATTATTGATTGGTTTTATGACCCACAGCTGCTGGTGGACATACCTGCAGTCAATGGTCCCTCATATTGTTATTGGCAGCTTACACTACCTGTTATGGCAAATTTATATTGTCTTGGGAGAACCCTATTGTCAGACCAACCTGATAGCAACACAAGCTATCTTTTTGATAAGAAATCTTTTTTTATTGTAAAAGTTTTTAATTTGGTAATTCCTGGAGGGCCGAAGTTTGAGCCATTGTATCATGACATGGATGCTTTTGACAAAGATTGGAACAAGTTCAATGATGTCAATAAAGTCATCATTCATCAACAAATCTATACCAAGTACAAGGTCACCTTCCCTCATCTCTATAACTCCCTCCCACACTCTGTTCACCTCTCTCCATATCATGCACCCAAGAATGTGTATATTCACACTGATGATCCCAGCCTACCTGCCTTCTATTTCGACCCACTCATTAATCCTATCTCCCTGCATGGCACTACTCCTAAGAATGCACTGCTTGTCTCTCATGAAGACTTGATTTTTGGTCTGAATGGCACCGACAATGACTTTGAGTTGCCTGATGATGTACAGCCATTCCTTGAAGACAAGCCTCTTGAAAACAACCTCACTGCTGATGGTATTGCTTTATGGTGGGTGCCTGAGCCTTATAATTAGTGCTCTGGTCACATGTGTTATGCACAGGACATACCTTTAGTGAAGAACTGGTATTTGGAGCACTGTCCTCCCAATCAGCCAGTCAAAGTTCATGTATTGTTACAGTCAACATATGCCCCTATTCATTTTCTCTTACCCTTACCTTGTATTATGTCATGTGCCGCATATCACCGCTGCTAGACTTATCTCTGACTTGTCTTATCTCTGGTTCACATTGTATTACACCATGATCGCTATCACCATCACTAGGTGATCTACTCTTGTTATCTCTGACTCATCTTCAATCCCATGTCTACCCTAAAGTACCTGTAGTTCACTATATATAGTCCACCTGGTACACTGTAGTTCTGCACTTAATCTTACTAGGTTTTACCTGGAACTTCCTTCACTTAAGACCTCCAATCTTAAGTTGTCTGAACATCAATATTCAAGTCAAGGACACTCTCCTTGCCTTGTCTTATGACCCTTGCATTTGCAAGGTCTTGAACCGACTCTAGCTGTTGCTCTTATTGAGCTGCTATTGTTGCAACTATCCTAGTTCATAACACATATCATACCAGAAGTTGCTCAAGTGCCTTGTCCTCAATGAGCTCAAGAGTCAACCTGAGAATATGATGACTCAAAAGAATCTCTTCCAGCAGTTGAAGGTAACAAAATTCTTCTAAACAACAAAGCTTGACTGGGTGGAAGTCAGTTTGCAAATGTGCAGACAAGGGTATGACATGCTTAACCTTCTCATTCACAGAAAGGTAAGCTTTCATAGAGACCATTGGGGTACATCAAAGCTAATTTTCATTTTCAGAACTTGAACTACTTGCATCTCGACAATAACATGAACTTGAAACCAGTGAAGATGCTTACTATGAAGGAGTGCAAAAAGTCTCGCTTTGGAAACACCTTCCACTTGTGCTGTGAGATTCTGTGTCTTACAAAGCTTGTCATTGATGCCCATGTTCAGTTCCGCCTTGGCAATGTTGATGCTTTCCAGCTTGCAAACACACTGCAGTATATCTTTGCACACATTTCTGTGAATGCAAGAGGGGAAAAGGAAGCTCCCCTCATAGTCTCCATAAGTTATTGGCCTGTATATTCTATTGTCTAGCTTCTGACTGGCCCCTTCAAAATCATGTAGGATGATGAGCAGCACTACCTTGCCAACTAACATCAATGTTCCAGTCTGATTGTAGTCAGTCTTAGGGTTGTAACCAGTCTATCATGAAAATTTCTTTTCAGTACTGTACTGGTGTTCTACTGGGCTTCTTTCATTCATCTATTTTGATTGATATAGCTCTGATGCTGTACATACTATTCTCACTCACACTGTCTATTTGAATGTGCCTGGCAAACTCTCTGGAGGTCTCTGTGCACCAAGTCTCTGCTCATGCCACAACTTCCCACCACTAGTATCATGCAAAACCAGAAACATTGCTGGAAGATTCCCTATACATTTTTGGAAAATCCCACCTGAAAGGTATGGAAATCCTCCAAATATAGTTGGAGGGCAGATGTGCACTGACAGGCCTTTGCACACTGTCATTTATCCTTCCTTTAGAATTTGTCCAGGCTGGGACAACAACTGCACTTATCACCAGCTATTGATGGACAGAGGATACTACTAGGCTGGGTGCATTGATATGCAAAGATGATACAACACTGGTACAGCTTGTGATGAAGGAGCTGACAGATTCACACAACATTGATATAAACTATCTACATAACCAGCTGATCGAATGCGAGGGATGGAGTTGGTCCCATGATTCATATATGATGAGTCAGCACCATGCACCCTCAAGTCTTCAATTAAATTGTCTCACTTGTATTCTTTTTTCAAGGTGCCCTTGCTTTCTTTGGACCAGGAAAGTTTGGAAATATTTATGCAAGCCTTGACAATCCTGCTGTGGGAGGTTATCTTCATTTCACTGACAAAGCCATCAGTGTACAGCATGCTTGGGTGGAGGCTGCATTGGATAGCACTTGGAGAGCCATTCACAAAATGCTTGTTTTTCCTGTTTTTGAATCCTACTGAGACAAGTTCTTCAAGAATTGGGGAGTAGATCCTGAATGGGTTGCACAGAGTGCATTGAAAGCACCTACCAATTGTCATGATGACATTATCAAATGAAGGGTGTGTGAAGCCAACTATATGTGTGACACAAGCTAACATAAACAAGCATATAGTACATCTAGTTACAGGAGCTGCAAAAGACACTGGGCACCCAAGATATCAAGATTGTTGACGACCAGAAGGAGTCTGTACTGGGTCACAAGCAGCTTGCTGACCTGAACATTCTGCAGAGTTCAAGAAGATCCCAGATGATGAGAAGCTGAATTTGTTCAAAGGCCTGCTCAAAGGTCTGCATATCCTCTTCTCAGTGACCTGCTATCAGATGCTAACTCTAGACAGAAATCAACAGCCTTACGAAGTGGTCAAACATTTCTGAGAATGTGTTCCTCAACATATACAAGGTCCTTGCCAAAGTACCAGATCCATATCCCCTGCTTGAAGCTGCTGTTGTGCATCTCACACATATACTTCACTTCTCCACACATTCACATGTGCACTGGACCAAACACTCAAAGCCACAGAGGCTCACACACTGGAGGCTGAAGTTACTCAATTGCATGGTGAGAACACTGGGTTTCAACAGTTGTCTAGCACTTTTGAAGTGTTCAAACACCACATTGAACAGCTGGATGTGTGTATGCACAAGCTTGTTATGCAGGAGTCCAAGATCAATGCTGTGTACAATGAACATATGCCTAATTATGTAGAGTGCTATGTGGTATGTTGTTGGTTTAGGTTGGTGTTTTGCAATTGCACAGTGCTGATGGAAGTTCAGGGAATGGGACTTGCAAATCAGGCAAACCTTTTTAATCACAGCCAGTGTCAGGGTGAGCTATGCTGCATTCCTTCCTCCACTCCCTTCTGTTTGCTTCATTGTTGTACCTTTTGTCTTGCACACTGACACTTCTACTCAGACCACAAGATTATTTCCCATCTTGCTGAAGCTGACATGATCATGGCTGACTTGGAACACACAAACAACAGGGTCACGACCATCAAGCAGTGACATGTAAGTTTTGTCAGCCTCAATCCCTTGTTCATCAATTTACTGTTTTTCTATACTATTTATTACACATCATTTTGCATGCATGCACCCCCAGTTACCACACAGCTGTCATACAGTGGCTCAAAAAAGTATCTGAATGTTTATGCATTTTCGAGTAATTGAATAATAGCAAGCCAGCACACAAGTGTGACATAAAGGCATAGGGATATGTCTGAAAGCCCTGCATCATGGCTAGAATCTGAGATATATAACGTGGGAATAAGACCATATATAGGCAAGATATGGTAATTCTAATTACATGACTCATTCGGACACTTTTTTGACTTTATATTCAAATCACAAAATCAAACCATTCACATATAATATCTTTACCTTCCTTGGCCTTCATCACTGCTACTACCCTCCTAGCCATACTTTATCACTTTCTGACACCCCTCCTCAGTAATTTTTTCTCACTCTACTGCAACTCTCTCCCATAGTTTAAATAGCCCCTTTGGATGATCTTGATAGGCAGCAAGTAGTCTTTTGAGTAATTCCAAGAGATATTCAATGGGATTGAGGCCTGGAGAATGTGCTGGCCAAGATAGAATATTGATATCATGGTCTTCACATTTTGTGGCCAACTTTGAGGTATGCTTGGGGTCATTATCTTGTTAGGGGATGATATCTTCTTTATTAATTCATGACTCTTGCATACTTTTGAATAGACACTCCTCTAGAATGGAGATTTACTGCTCTCCATTTATCCCTCCTTGCACCTCACAAAGAATCCCCACACCATTCCACCCCATGCAACTCCTACCATCATACTTCATCCTCCAAACTTTACTGTACTCTTGGCTTCTCTTTCTCCTGATGGTTCCCCTGCCCTTTTCCACACATATTCCTGGTCATCTGATCCTATTCTATTGATTTTTGTGTCATCTGACCAAATTACCTTCTTCCAGCCTTCCACAGTCCAATGTTAATGCTTTAATGCAAAGGCCCCTATAAGCTGCTGAGGAAAGAGGTATTTTTTTCTTTGTTACAGCCATAAGATTGGCTGCCTTATGGGTATTTCTGACTGTTTAACTGGGGATAGGAATGAGGATGATGAAATTTATGAACTTGGAGGCTTGGACAGCATTTAAAGCCTTGCTAGATAGAATCTAATGAACAATAACCCTTTTATTCTGTAGAGTATGCTTAGGAGGACATTCCATTTCATGATTTTCCTTCTCTAGCATGTTCTGCTTAGTGACTGCAGTCATGGTAGACTTGTCAAGACCAGTTGTAGAAGCAATTTGCTTAGTAGATAAACCAGGGGAGCAGAGAATAAGGATATTATCCTCTTAAGCAGAGGAGATGGGTTTCATGATGATTATGTCAAAGTTTATGATGTTATGTGGGTTTATATATTCAAAAATTATCAAAATAAGACCAAATTATTATTATGGCACCACTTCCATTAAGAATATTATGTGTGAATGGTTTGATTTTGTGATTTGAATATAAAGTCAAAAAAGTGTCCGAATGAGTCATGTAATTAGAATTACCATATCTTGCCTATATATGGTACAATTCCCACAATATATGTTTCAGAGTCTAGCCATGATATAGGGCTTTCAGACATATCCCTATGCCTTTATGTCACACTTGTGTGCTGGCTTGCTATTATCCAATTACTTGAAAATGCATAAACATTCAGACACTTTTTTGAGCCACTGTATACTCTATTCTATTGGGTTGGCATATGACCACCTCCCTTCATTGCTATGTGTACAATTTACCCTGCTATTTTCCTTCCTGTTACCACAACTTCTTTATCTGTTTTGCCCCTTTGAAATTCAATTGACATCAACTTCTTCCACAGGAAGCACTCTGTGGAGAGATCAAGACATTGCACACTGGCAGCAAAAGCAGCGAGTTGTATGTCTGTTTCTCATCTTTCATTCTGCTTCTCCCTCTGCCCGCTCTTTCTGAGTATTTTTGCTTGTCTATGTGCTCTTAATTCAACTGATGTGCATATATTTAAACACTATTGGATCTCTAACATTTTGTCTCTCAGAGCTTGAGTCCAAGTGCACAAGACTTGAAGGCACCATTGATATTGCATGAAGCGCCACAGCATGATCAGAGGAGTGGATTTTAGAGAAAGTGGCTTTTGTTTTGAGCCCAGCAATACATGATTGATTGACAGGAACAATAGATATTCCACATGCTCACAAAGCAAATGCTGCTCCCACAGAAGTAGATGCTCCGACAACAGAATTAATAACATACACAGACTATGATGAGCTGTGAAGTGAGAACTGGAGGTTCTGAAGGTACACCTTTCCCTCATGTGTCATTCTCATCATGTCAACCCCATGATAGTATGTTGAATTTGCAGGTCTCAACCTGGATGATGATTGGTCAAGTCCTGACAAAGACAAAGACAAGGACCACATGTATCTGCCAAATCCAAATGTGGACAAGGCAACTGTACAGCATGTCAAGAGTCCCAAGGTGCTCCTTGTGACAAGAATAAATGGGAAGAGTTGACTCAATTTAGGGAGTATTTACTGTTAATTTTGGCCTCTACATTATGCTTCATTTAAACTTTTTGTTTCACAGATCCTTCACAGATCACTTGAAGCTTTTCTCAAAAGCACACAGGATGACCTTGCTGACACACACAGAACTTGCCAAGTAACAAGTCCTATGTGAGAAACTTGAGACAGATCTACTTGCTCTGAACACCAACAGCAGAAGCAGGCCAAGAGAGGAGGGCAGGGAGAGTGGAGAGAGTAGGATTTTGGGGCTGGAGCTCAAGCTCAGCTTATGGACCAAGGTGTGTCTACATTTGATTCTGGCAGTCAATACAATTGATACTGCAGGACATAGCAGGCCCAAGCACCACATGCTCAACACCAATACCATTCACATCATCCACCAATATATTGGTCCTTCCTGTTGTGACCAGCCAGTGGGATTGTTTCCAGCAATGGAACACAGAGCTTGAGGAAGTTGGTGCCAGGTGTCTCATTTGCATTCATGTCCACCTCTTGTGTTATCACTCACCACACCTGACATTAATTCATCCCCAGGAGCTCTGCAAACACTACCACACCATCTCTGAACTCCACACCAAAGTCAGATATCTCCAATCTGATAACCTCAAGCTCTGCAAGAAAGTCTATTGCATGCAATCATATCATGAACAAGGCTCTTGAATAACAATGCAACTATTTGGAGTAAATGGAGGTCAAGCATGAAATTGAAAGCTGAGATAGGACCACCGGTGTTGTTGATGCAATCCTCACTTGTGACCATCTCTTTCCTCTTATCAAAATCCATTTGAAGTACTGGCAGGTGCACTTTTTAAGCAGAGCAAAGATCTACTAGACCATGACATTCATCCTATCCATATAGCAGATAGCTTTGACCAGGCCTGTGCTGTTGCCTGCAAGAAGCTTGGCAGCATCTCAGATTATGTCAACTGCACTCATCTTTATGTACAAGCCATGCTGGTCAACCATGCAGAGTTAGTTTTGTAGCTAAATAGATTACAAGCAAGCGAGAAGTATTTTGTATTGAAGAGTCATAGTGTCTCAAGGATTTGATGGCCATATGAATGCTGTCTAGGGCCATGTGGAGTGTCACCAGTAGCATGGGAATTGTCACCAGTATTATGCAGGCTGCTGGAAAATAGCAGTCAAAAGGAGCACAGTCCATACCCTCAATCTGTTTTATCCATGGCTGTACATTAAATTCAAGAATTTTTGCAATCATGACATGTGGATCAATACAAACTGGTTATAAATTGCAACTAAATGACAAAACATAAGGTCATGGTACTAAAGGTTAGCAGTACATATCCTCTAGTCCCCTTTGAGGGCAACATATAACCAGATGAGTCCACCTGTCACAGACATTGTCTGCACTAAAGGCCAGTGGGTCCTGTCAGCTGACCTATCATGATCACCAATATCAATGGAGTGGTCACTTTGTGGAGACAAAATGTTATTTAATTTGTGGGCAATTTTTTGGATGAAGTATTTGTCTGTGATTTAATGGAGGATTAGATGTGGATAAGTTCTGTGCCAGACTTCATTCCTTGGCTAGCTTGGAAGGTAAAAAACTTCTTTCAAACCTCCAATCATGTCTGCAAACTCTGCACAGCAATTTTCTTGACACATTCCTACTAACAAAGCTCAGATGGTTACTACTTGACCTCCCTGCCCAACACATAATATCCCAATGTGTGACTCCTGCATTCTAGGAGACATAAAATGTATGGGATTAAGGGAGAGACTGTGCTACAGCTGTATAGAAGCAGGGGGCTGCTACACCTTGATAAGTGAGCGTGACTTCAATTCTACCTCATAGCAACCTGCCAATCCACCCTCACTCTTCACAGTCTATTCAGACTCAGAATCTGACTCTGATACAGAGACTGCTATAGTTGGATCAATCAAACGCTAATAGGATCCTGACTCCAATTCAGATGCTGAGGCATTTGAAGCTATCCCAAGAACAAAGATCAGACTTGAGGATGTGAAGGAGATTGAAGGGATAGCAGGAGAATTGAGCTTGGCAGGTGATAAGAAAAAAAAATCTATAGGTGTTGCAAAAATTCAACCCAAGATTTGAGACATGTCCACATCATCAGTTACATCCCTCATCACATCTTTAACTACTGCTCAAAGATTTTTTACAACATTGTCACCAGCTCCACACAATGTCATCAGTATGATGTGAACACTATTGATCTCTTTCTGGTTGCTTGGATCAAGTGGGCTTGCTTGAAATGAAGTGCTTGCCAAAATTGACAAACAGCACTTTTGTACTATCAGATTCACATGCTACATCAATATTCAAGCAGACCTTCCTACGTATGTTCAATGAGGACAGCCAGTATCTCTTGAAGATTTCAATGCCATGTTCAACTCACAGATGGATCACTTCAGATTTTCCTGTTCACAGATTATTGAGTTGAGGTTGTTTAGACAGCCAATGAACTAAAGGTTTCAAACTTCCAGCCTTCATCGGACATGCAAATCTCTAGTAGAAATAACTTTGGCCTGCTCAGGTGTTTTGAGATGGGAAAGAGCCAGCCAGAGGTGAATGGAAAGAGGGATCACCCACATAGCATTGGAGAGGAGTATGTTGGATATTGAGATTGTAGATTATAACTTGACACTCGTTAATGTTGGACACAACCCAGTGCCAATCTACCATTTCTCTTTACTTACATAATACAAACATTTTTATTTGAGACTGAGGATTAATCATACATATATCTGTATTTAGTCAGAGTATGCAAGCACCCATAGCTAATTCTTTGATATTGACAGCCTCCTTCCATATCCAAACAGTGTAGTGGGGAGATCTGGCATGGGGTGCCAGGATGGTCTGGCACAGGTCATAGGGAGTGCCAGGGGTTCTGGCACAGTAGTAGGAGCCCTGGCTCATAGTCAGTAGTCCTGCAGCTTGTTGTAGTTGGTCCTCAATAGATAGAGCCACAGCCTCCCACTATAGAGGTTTGGCCTTGGTTTTCCTTGTAGTCCTTGCCTGTTACAACAGTGTTTGGGATGTTCTTGAGCACTGTGTCCATGTGATGTAAGTCAATGGGGGGAAATTTGAGGACAAAAGGGGTATACATTTACCCAATATGCCTTTCTTCACTTCCACATCCTATCCAAGATTGGCTGCTGCAAGCAAGATCTTGACACTCTGACCAACATATTCAACAGTGTTAGAAAGGATGGCTTTGGCATTTTCACCATTCTAGAAGGGGTATCAGTGACAGCACAGAGGGTATCACAGAGGTTTGATGCATGTGTAATCCTGTTGCCTTGAGCCATATATCATTGCTTGTGGGACTGGCAACCTGCTTTATGAGTTCACTTTTGCAGCAACCATGTGACCAGCATGTTCTTCTGGATGTGCAGCTGCAATCCAACCATTGACAAGCAAGTCAAAGAGCATGAGAATGCATCTGATGTCAGAGAACTCAGCTTGAGAATGACACTATTGAGTGAGGTGTGGTACCCCTTAGCATCAATGGACTGGCAGAGCCATAGCTAGCCAACATCACAACAATCTACCATGCAATATGTATTGAGGATGTCAGGAACATTCATCTTTCACCTAGTAGAATTACTCACTTCTGGTAAGCTCTCCCCCTACTGGTTTGTGATGATGGACAAACTGTGCTTCAGGTTAGCGCTGTTTTTGCTGAATTTCAGACACTCAACTTTCTGCTTTGGAAGTCCTGCATTTTCTCTCACCTCCCTGGATATAAAAACAAAGTGGAGTGATGTCATATCTGCATATCCAGATCTCAGATCCAATCCACATCTTATCTCTGATCCTATCCACATCTTATCTTCCTCCAACATCTCATCATCCAATCTGCCCACTTGTCCAGTCTGGTCCACAATTCATCTGAATCCACAACCAGTGCTTGTCTCCTTTTGGTAATCCCCTAACTCTGGTATTTCAGTTATCTGTATATCCATCCTGCTCCCTGATCCATTACCTATGCTTCATCTCCATTTCATTATTTGTAATCCATTTCTACTTACCAATAGACCATTCATATGCTTTGTACATAGCCTTGGACTCTGCTGATTGATCATTCCATTAGATACCTATAGTATATAACCTCCTGTAACTCTCTGTAGTACCTCAGTTCAAATATCATCTTAGTTCTATTCATTCCTGTCCTCTGGACTTGAGTATCTCTACTCTTGTCACCCTCCAAGACTTAGGATTGATTCCTATAGTCTATCTGTATCTGCCTCTGTCTCTAACAGTCCATTACTGTTAGTTTCTAGTCTGGACTCATCCGGAAGTCATCTGGATCCACTATGCTACTTGTCCGACCTTCCAGACATGTTAGTCTTGCCTTCCTGAAATAAGGGGCAATACTCAGGTAAGGGGCACAGCACACAAGCTGAGGCCGAAGCCCTTTGGATCCAGTTATCCCTTGAGTACAACCTTAACAAGTGAACACAATGAAACGATATAACAAACTAGAAAGCACACACCTGTGCCCAACACCATGAGTCCATTTTCTGATCATTGTCATCTTATATTTTGTTGGCCTCCTTATCATACTATTCATAAGTTGCTCCAGCAAAGAGGCCATACATATTGTTGGGTCTTGAAATTAGTCTAGGTTGATTTTGGGCCTCTCATAGCAGATAGCTTTGACTGGGCCTGTGCTGTTGCCTGCAAGAAGCTCAACAGCATCTCAGATTATGTTGACTTCTCACCCGAGAACAAAGAAAATCTTCCCAGGACTGCAATCACCTGTCTAGGCAGCAAAATGTGCACCAGTCCTTTCTTTCTTTCCTTGAATATGCTTTAAATTTGGCCTAGTGTGTCGAAGGAGCTGCAGCAGTTCACTCAGATCATGGTTGATGCTGTTCTAACAGTTGCAGACCTTGAACATTATGATGTTCCCTTTGACCTCATCAAGGTTAACAGCAAAGTTGGTAGCTGTCTTGCTGACATGCACGACACTGATCAAGGGCATTCTCATTGACAAAGATATATCCCACCAACAAATGCCCCTTTGTGTGTGTGATGTGTGCCTCACAATCCTCACCTGACCCTTTGAGCCTCCATGACCCAAGACTAAGCATAAGCTTGAAATCATGTCTGTAAAGAAGTTTAAGCACCTCCAGGATTATGAAAAGGAGAAGTGCAATTGAATCATCCCCCAATTCAAGGATCTTATGGTGCAAAAACTTGGGAAGGTAGGCACTGTGTCGGCACAACCCACTCTTTGTTAAAGAGTGTGCTAACTTCCGCAGTGTCACAATCTTTGTGTGCAGAAGCAATAATTAATGGTCTGCCTGTGTTCACCCTCAGTGCACATCAGTCTTGGTCAAGATTGCAGCTGACAAAATGACTAGGCTGCTAAGCACTGAGCATTGAGCTAGTAATTTAAGCAAGGTTCGAAGAATGAATGCCAAGTGCCAAGTCTGTTTCTACTACTAGTATGGGCCCAGGCAATGAGCCATGCACCATGCCTTGCAATTCAGAATGCCTTGAAGTCAGCTCTGAGCTGCTGCCAATCCACAACTGCTTCTTCCTTTGTTGAATAGGAGTCATATTCTGCACCAGGAAAACCTGCTACATGTCTGTCTACCTTGTCCCTGTTTGTGCACACTTGGAGTGAGTGAGTAGAATGGTAAATAAATAAGAGCTCACCAAGAATTGAAACCACCTGATACATGCCCAATTCTGACAGCATAGTACACACAGCAGGGGTTAGAAGCCTCCATGTTCTAGATTAAATGCAGAAAGGTGCAAAAGTGAGCAAAGGTTGCTAAAGTCTAGAAGTAAAACACAGCTCACTATAGGAGGTTGATTGGTATGAGATGATGTGGTAGACTCATAGCTGGAGGCAGGTTGGTAGCTGCCCTATGGATAGCAGGGTTGATATGAGTAGTCAGGGTGGTGGCCGCTATGGCTGCAGCATAGGGAGGTGGAACATCTGAATCTAGATTTCTTGGATGAGATCTAGACAAGTTGGTCATCTACTTGAGAAGGTTGCTGGAGCCTAACCCTAACCCTAAATCACCACATGCCAATGGTTGATATCAAGCCAGAAAACTCTATCAATGTCGAAGATAGCTATGCACCTTCTTTGTGTCTTGATAACTCACACTAACATGCTCTGACTGTTTTGTGTCAGTCTGGTAAAGGGAGTGCAAGTGTCATGCCAAAGTTTGGTGAGTTGGACAAGGGTATTGAGTGTGATCTAGAAAGCAAGGTAGGTCCCCTGGTCGGCTAATGCCATCTATTCCTATGTCTGACTCTGTACCCACAGTTACCCTATATCTTTAATACCATTACTATTTATTGTTGCTGTGGCCAAATCAGAACCAGAGAGTCTTTCATCCTCTTTCTGAAGGTCTTCAGAGGGATAATGGGTAAGTAATTCATAATCAAAATCTCTGAGTAATCTGAATCCTGATAGTTTCTTTACCTCAGTTGCAAGAAAGCAAAGTGTAGGCATAAAACGGATCCAATAAAAAGACAAGGATCAACAATAACCAACTAAAGCAAGGTCATTGCTAGCTGGTGCAACAGCATCTAGTCACCAATTTCATTGACAAATCATTGTAAAATGTGAATCTCTGGCTGTGTGTGCAGTTGGGGCACATATATTTTGTGCCAAGGTGGTGATGATTTCACTGATCACATAGCTGCTCCACTGACAACATCTGCAACTTGTATAATTAGTCTCCTAGGCTAAAGGATTTCCCTCCACATTAATGTAGTGTGAGACTAATTACAAATCAAACATCAGATATCATGTTGACAGACCTGACAGCTGATTCATACTTATAAGTAGATGGAAATCATTGAGGCGCAGCTGCTGTGCCACCTAAGGAATTCTAGCTAGTAGTGAACCAGCACAGAGGTTGTTAGTTTGCTTAGTCACATCACCCTTGGCAGTACTTTTGCCCCATTCCCATGGTCTAAGAGATCCAGTTTCCTTGTAGAGCGTAACTAGTCTCTGAGACCTACCCTCTTGTGTGAGCATGAGACCTCCGAGGATAGTAGTACCTCTCTCATGCCTCTCTGTAGTCTCCCTCCTGTGAGCTCTGTTATCAGTCTCAAAGCTCCCACTGCTCCTCTTGGCCCTCTGTGGCCACCTTAGGCAGCAGTTCTCAGTACTATTAAAGGTCTGTCAGACCCTATTTTTATGTTGGGATTATATGGTCTAAGAGACCCAGCCTCATGGATGTTCTAATTATAGCACACCTTCCTTCCTCCATAATTCTCCTATAGTGCCTCCCTCAAGCCTTGTAGCCCTCTCCTGACCCTCTGGATATCCCATACATCATCTGCAATGCCTCACTGATCTCACCAGCATCCCTGTCCCAGGACTAACACACTTGCACTGCAACAATTTGCACTATTGTTCACTTCATTATCTTCGCCTTCATTCTGCCTCACATCACTTATATCTTCAATTGTCTTTACCTAGGATTAGTATAGTGGGTTTGGGTGTGTCTATCCAGTTTTATTTCCCTACTAACTGATGCCCCTGTCACTTCAGTCTCACACCATCTCGAGTCACATGTCCTTGTGCTCAAACATCTATCACTCATCTGCCATCCTGCTCATGAGGTTAGCTTCCACCTTCCAATGCTATCCACCTATGATGTGGCTGATTGAGGGAAAAAGAGCACAAGTATGCCCTCAGCACTGCCTTGTTGACACTTGGACACCTGCTATTATCATGCCCACCCTCTCATTGCCCATCATCCCACACAGCGCTGTGCATGCCACTCATGTGTAGTCGGTCATTGAGCAGGGCTTCAAGTGTGTATTTGCTAGTCAAGGAGCCAGAGGACCTTTCTCAAGTGCTGCCACTTGAGGCTGACAATGAGTACAATGAAGATGATGATAGATGCTCACACTCAACCAAGAAACAAGGAAAGCATGGGTCATGAAAAGCAGTGCAGAAGACCATGATGGACATGACTCTTGCTGTTGCATCCCAGAGCTTAGCACCGGAGATCAGTCTTGCAAGTTGGGGTGTGAGCTATTTATCATTACTCACACCTGGTGGCGGGATCATAGACTTGAGGAGAAAGCTAATAATGTTCAGCTATCATGTATGCATGCATCCCACCTTCCTTCCCACAACACTGCTTTCAATTTTGCCTCCCATCACTTCATGGGGCCACATCAGCTCCACCACCAGCACCACCCACCACTTTATCCTCCAATACCACTCCTACCACCTTCAAAACCCACTCAACACATGAATGCATTCAAGCATGTTCAGTCTGATGTTCAGCAAAATTGCTGAACTGATTCAACTGAATGCGACATCCAGTTCAGTGTCTGAACTTCGCCGATTCACTTGCTTGCCACTCTCACCCACTAACTTGAACCCAATGCAATGGTTATGATATCACTAGACTCAAGAGACAGCAGGGATTTACTGTTGCTGT